TGTGTGAATCATGAATCATATTTGAATATTTTTTTTTGGATTTTTTTGCAGTGATTCTATTGAATCGGATAAATCATATCAATACGCTTTCAAAATACTTTAAGCCATTCTTTTTTTAAATCCTCTATATCAAGATTCTCTCTCTTTGTACTCGATTAGATTTTTTCTCTTCTAAAGTTATTAAACTCATAGAAAAGGCAAACACAGATTACAGACTTTTATACGTGCACTTATAATGTCATAAAATATTATTGTCCTAATCTTGCCTCTAGAGAAAAAAACGGTTGTATTTGTCTTCATTAACTCTCTGCTGTCTTGTGAAAGAATGGCATTGCCGACGTTGAGTGTAATTGATTATGTTCTCTTAGTGATATTACTTTTGTTCTCGGCCATCATCGGTGTTATATTTGGCTTCGTCAAGTCTAAGAAAGCCTCAGCTAAAGAATATCTTTTAGGTACGTAACATCATCATGAAACGATCAATACTATCTTTTACTTCAGCTGATGGTAAGATGCGTGTGTTTCCTACGGCGTTGAGTATCACAGTCTCCTTTGTTTCTGCTATTACTCTACTGGGTATTCCGAGTGAGGTGTACATGTCTGGAACAATGCTTTTGTATCAAGGTAAGAAAAATAAAATTGTTATCATATTCTTCATTATCACCATGTCTTTCCGCTTGTAGCTGGCTCATGGAGCATTGCATCGATGGTGACGGCTTTGATTTTCGTGCCGAAATTTCGAGAAATGAATCTTACGAGTATTTATGAGGTGTGATACTTGTAGACATGACCATAATCAGAGAAATAGATATCTATCAGTATTTAGAGAAACGTTTCGATCGATCAGTGCGTACGTGTGTTTCCATTACCTACTGCATATACATGGTGCAATAAGATTTTGCTTGGGCACATACTCTCTATTTCATCATTTCTATAGGTTTTATATATGGCTTTGGTACTCTATGCACCATCATTGGCACTTAGTCAAAGTATATGGCACAGAAAAAATTAAGCTTTAGGCAAAATTAAACTCACACAGAATTTGTTTTCGTTTATATAAAGATATATTCTAAGTTTGATTTGCATTAAGAAAATAGTATGTACGGTACAACTTCTTAGATTTGTCTAGACTTTAATTCTATTTGAGTATAACTTAATGTAGATATCTATGATAGCTATTTTGTACTTATCTTTTTCTTGTTTTTTATTAATTTTGGAATCTTTTAAAAATATTGTTTAATTTTGTCTAAATCTCAATTTTGCCTGATGCATGCAAACAAAAGTATATGCTACTTATATTTGAAATCGAATTCTAGCGACAGGATTGAACAAATGGCTTTCAGTCATTTCTATTGGTGTCGTTTGTACTTTCTACTCCGCAGTGGTATGTATTTAAATTTGATCCAATTCTAGTAAAGACAATCCAATACACGCCGGTATGCATAGGGCGGACTGAAGGCAATTATTTGGACCGATGTTTTGCAAGCGGTGATAATGTATGCTGGCATTCTTGTTGCCATTATTCAAGGCAGGTGCATGCATTTGATAATCTCGAGTGTATTGTGATTGCAGCCAAAGAGCAAAAAAAGCTTGAGAAAGTCTTGATAGGAGTTTTTCAATGAGTGAAAGCCATTGAGCTCTACATTTTATGTCAAAGTAATAAATACTATCGTTATTCTTCAATCCACTAGTTTTTTAACCGTTCTGAATAGACGTATACTAGCTGACTGAGGACTACTAAAATCTGTAGAATATATTTGAAAACTAAATGAAAGCGAATTAATTCGATCTATTCTATTAGGTTTGATCCTAGTTGGTGGCTTTAAGCGTGTATTTTCGATTGCTTCCCAAGGTGGCCGTATAGAATTTGATAAGTAGGTCCATCATCATTCATTAAATACTGATAGGAGCTTTGAATGCTTTTATCGATTTAGTGCAAGTTTGGATCCTCGAACACGTCACACAGTTTGGTCAATTTTAATTGGTAATTCTGTTCATGCATTGTTGCTCTATAGTTTCAATCAAGTACAAGTACAACGATATATGTGTGTTCGATCGACTCGAGGAGCACAAGCAGCTCTTCTGATCAATATCATTGGTGTTGCTAGTCTCATTCTTCTCACGGGCTTTATGGGTGTTATTATCTATGCCTACTACGTCGATTGTGATCCATACACGACTGGTCGTGTTCAAAATGTTGATCAAATCTTTCCATACTTCATTATGGATGCATTGGGCAACAAGAAGGGTATACCAGGCTTATTTCTTGCTTGTGTATTCTCGGGTACGCTCTCCACCATTTCATCTGGGATCAATAGTTTAGCAGCAGTTATTATCGAAGATGTCTACAAGGGCCTCATGAAAGGACAGCTAAGCGATGAGCAACAAGGCATTGTATCAAAAATACTTTCAGTCATTGTGGCTGTAATGGTGATGTTTTTTACCTATATCGTAAGCTATTTGGGTTCGGTGATCAATGCAGTGATATCAATGTCTGGTGCCCTTTGTGGACCCATCACGGGAATATTCTTTCTTGGTTTTTTTTTCCCGCAAGCCAATCGACGAGGAGCGATGTTTGGATTTTTCGCAGGTTTAGCGTCACAACTCTGGATCTTCTTTGGCGCTCAACTAACGAAAAATCAAAGAAGCAGTGGTCGGCTACCATTATCGGTAGCCAATTGCACAAATTACAACGAATCGGCACTCATAATCGCGAACACGACATCAGCAATCACACACATCAAGTAAGTGAACATTTAATTTCATTGTCTACTGGCCTAATTTAGATAATTTTGATAACTTGTCAAACTTTGACTTATTCCTTTGATTCTTTCTAAAGTTGATGAACTTTTTTCTACCTAATCTGTTTTTGTAACATTTATTCGACACTGTCTAGTTCAACAGTTGAATGTATAGTAAATCCTCGTTCGATGTTCAGTGTTTTCATTTGAGTGACAAAAGAATTTCAAAGATTGTCATTGCATTTAAATGTTTTATCTGGATCTCAGGTGTGTTTATGAAGTATCAATTGATCTTTGTCTTATTTTGAGGTCTAATCCATTGCTTGGTATTTATTCAGTGAGTTACATGTGGTACACACTGATTGCTGTTGGTTCTGTGCTGATTGTTGGCGTTCTGATATCCTATCTCACACATCCCTTGAAATCACATGAAATTGATCCTAAAATAATCATTCGAATGAGTGACGTGTGCAGATTTTGCTGTTGGTCACAACAACGACAAAAACGGTTCAAATGTGTTGTCTACGACGAAGTCGCTGTTGTGCAGGAGGTAGTGTTTCTGAGATTCTTCTTCCAATCAAATAGCCTACATTCTTCTATATAGGAATCAAAAGATACGGAAATACCGTCAACGATGTTACCAACCAGCTAATAACGTGCATTGCTTCGATGAACAATTAGATTTAAAAATTTCTAAAATATTACAAGATAAATATTTTTCCTAATTACATCAATCAGTAATGTAGTTCATATGTGCGGTGTGAATGTGGGCGAATTCAATAGTTTTAATTGTAGCTAAGGGTGGGTGTGGGTGTGCGTATTCCTTCTGTTTACCCCACACCCCAGGCCAATCACGCCCGATCGGATTCTGTCGGTTCCAGATAATTCCGACGGAAGCCTATCCCAATTTTGTCGAAATCCTAACTAACGGATTCCGACATCGGATTTGCATAAAGTCCGATCGAATCCTGTCTGTTTCTGTTGGATTTTATCAGATTCCGGTCCAGATATCGTCGGAATCCGTCAGTTAGGATTGATTGACCTGAGACCCACACCCACACCCTGTTTATGTAAAGGAGAACACAAGAGAGAGAGAAATCTAGATTTTCTTCAACTTTGTATAGAATGAGAGAAAATTTCAGTATTGAAAGGGTTAATAGACTTGTCGTAAGAGATTGATGCAAAATTAATTCTTGTAAAAATAAAGATCCTTTATTTAGATATCGGGTGTAGATGTGACTGTAGTCTAGATAAAAACCACACCCTCATTTATTTTACTTCTTCTATTTGATTCTTTATGTCCTTCTTTAGAGTGATTCGTAGAGAATCAGAGAGCATTTTTAAAAAGTTACATAATAAATTCAATTTTCAAAGTATCAATCGAATTTTAAATTATACTTAATCATCTGAATTTTTGAATAATTATCGAAATCAAATTCTCGAGATGATCAATCCGTTGATATTATCGTTTATACTGATAAAATTCTAATGAATATTATTTTACATTACTTGTAAATAATTAATAGACATTTATTTGTTTATTATTTAAATGATATTCATAAAATGTTTATGTGCAAGACCAAGAGACACTGTGTAGAATGAGGAAGTAACAACTTTCTCTTCATAAATACATTGATATTCATTTGTATCTTAGTCATCTTTTGAATAAAGCATGATGACAATTTCCGTATTTATTGTCATATTTTCGTTCTGTCTTTATGATGATTTAGAGTGGTAAGATAAGCATTTTTTTATATGATAAGTCAACAGTTGCACATCGACATATACTTACCTAACGAAAATCTTAACTCATATGAAAATAATGTTGTTAATACATTTTGAGTTACTGAGAAAATTAAGTAAGTTCGAATGATCTCCCAACTATGTTGATATGAAAACGGCTTTTCAATGCTATCGACTTTCGTGCTTGTTAAAAAAAATACAGTTAAGTAGCATGCTTCCCGATAAGTTTAACTTCTTGGTAAATAAATAAGTATGGGGTGTGGATATGGTTTGAGAGATGATCCAGAGCTTAAAGACCTACACCCACACCCACACCCCGACGCTATAAGTCTGGATAATAAAATACCAATTTTCATCACTGACAGTGATGATCTAGATCATGTATACTTGAATACTTTTTCGTTTTTTTCTCATCGAATAAAATTACTATTCAAGATGATGGCGTTTCAGTTTGTTGTTGATAGCTGTAATAGTAAATTCTTAATGTTATGTTTTGAATTGAAACCTCTTAACAAATTCACCATTGACATTAATATTTACTTACTCTATATTTATGAGTGCCTACGAAATTTTAGTCAATTTGAATATATTTATTGCATCTAACATGAGTGATCGATAAAAAACATTCAACCGGTACATAAATACGATATAACGTGATTTATTAGAAAAATAAAAGCAAAATGGATATTGGATTATAAAACTGCTATATGAATTAGATAATCTCTTGCTTATATTACTGTTGCAAAGTAAAAAAAAATATATTAATCGTCAAATTATTAATTGCTTAAATGACGTCGTATAAAATCAAGTAACTCGCTTCTTAAATTGGTAACTTCAACTTGTGGTGGAATATGAGACATACTCTGTAGTAGTTTTTCTCGACTTCTCGTATAAACACACAGAGGAATTTCTGTTGAGTCAAAGACATTGTCTATCAGATTTTTCACATCGATGAGATTTTTCTGTTCACTAACATAGTAACCTCTGCAAATAACTAACATTTTTTCTCGTTGTTTGAGATTATGTAAGTTTGTTTTGAGAAAAGTGGATGCTTCAGCTAACGTTGGACTAAAATGGATCTCCAATAAAGGATGATTTCGGTGAATATTTTCAGTTGCTGTTGGATCATTTCCTTGCGAATCAACCCAGAGAAGGAATTGCTTCGATACCATATTTGAAGAAATAGAACGACATGGTTCCAAAATTGGACTTTCAGAAGAGAGTTCTACAACAAATGAGAGAATGCGATAATTAGATATTTGTGTTCGAATTGTAGACAAAGAAAAGGTCAATAGAATGATATAACGAAAGATTACAGTTGTACACGGTTGGAAATAATATTAT